AGAAGTGAAATTTATATTTCATCTTCTAGGTATGATAAGCCACAAAATTTTAATGCCCACAAGTCATGTTTATAGTTTAAAGAACTTGTAGACAAATCCATATTTAAACAACTAAATATTATATTTAATCCCCGGTTTAAATTATTTCCCTATTAGCCAGGAGGCTTCCAAAAACCTTCTTAAAAAGCATTCATGCTTGGATGTTTCTAGAATTGTTTCTTTTGTTCAACTATTGAATTGATTGAAATAAATAAATAAATAAATAAACACACACACTAGCTGTTTACCTACGATAATCAACGGGTGCAAATAATTTTTATAAAAATTAGTCTATACAGAAGATTTGTTTTTTATATCGATTTTCAATCGGTTTCTATTTTTTTAAATCATTTTTAGACCAGTTTCAGTTATAATAAGTTCTTTTTTTTTTAAATGAATTTTTAATTAAAAAACGGTGTTAAGACCAATTCGGTTTTATTAAAAAAAAACAAAATACACATATTAAAACCTATTACTAAATGATGGTTCTGTTTTAACATATCTGTACAAAGCTGCCGCGGCAAATAATTTATCTCAATCATATAATCCAACTTTTGCATTATTTGTGAAATAATAGACTCATCAAGTAATTAATAAAAAGAAACTGTTTAAAACACACTATGAAATGTGTTATCCGTTGAAACAAAAAATAATATAATACATAAAATCTAAAGGTGTGTGTATTGGTTTATTTCGGCAAATAGTTTTTTTTTTTAAACATGATGGATTATGGAAAACGCATAATGTATCGGCATATAGTTTTCTTTGGGTTAAAGGGCATGTAGTTTTGTTGGAGCTTTTCACAGGTACACCCCTATTTTGTAAAGGGTTAACCTAATAAATTGAAAAATATTTATAAAGCCTCATTAATTATAATAATAAAATACATAATACTTCCAAATAATTGTAATAAAACTCCAACAAAATGATTTACTTTGAACAATACATTAGCAAACAATTTATTAATGAAAACCAATTATAACAATACCCTAACCAAAATAACCTTTTTAATGTCACAAACTTTTGTGGCATCAAAACTGATTTATAAGAGATGGATAACATTTTTTTTCAGAGAATATCTTAATAAGAGAATCTATTAACAAAAGTATTAATGTCATATGGAAATTATCATTATCTTGTAATTAAAAGAATTATGTTTGTAAAACAAGGGAAATTGTCATAAAAGCTCTTCAGTTTTCCAAAAACTGTCGGTTTTACCCTTGGATGAGTTTTTGGGTTATTAAAGTCGGATACTTTCACTAAATCTATCAAATGTCTCATTAACAGGTTGGACCCTTAGTAGTCGGTTACCATGTGCTGATTTGGCACTTAATTGATGTCACAACCCCCAAACCAAGGATGGCGGAAACGTCCGGGGGTGGAGGACTTCATGTATAGTATCATAACCACAATTTCAATAGTAATTTAAGCAAACACAACCAACATATATATAATTGAAAAAGTTACATCACTTGTATGAATTACATGGTTCAAAATCAATTACAATATGTTGACAAAATATGAAAAGTTTGACGCCTTAACGTCCCATCCTCAAAAGCACTTGATTACCTGTTTAGTGTTTTCCTGAGAATACAAGTTGTTTGAAAAGTGTCAACACAAAGGTTGGTGAGTTCATAAGCTTTTATTAATAAACTTAGTAGAAGTCTTTCACATATAAATGTCGCGTTTGTTTCAGAAAAATCCGATATTTTTCCTTGAAATCCGTAAAATGTAGCCTTATAACCAAAGACCAAAATGTATAAGAAATCATCATTACTTAGTAGAAATGTCGTGAGTTTAAAATGATATGGAAAGTAAATTTTTAATCAACCTAAAACCTACTTCGGTTTTATGAAATCCCGTAAACTTTATGAATTGTTATCTCCCTAGGTGAGTCGCTATAATTATACTGTGACTATGTGAACCTGCCACAACGTTTCTCAGGCGTCGCGAAAATAAAATGACATTTGTCACCCGTAGACCTGCAGGTCCCACTGTAGCTAGCAGCAAGGTGTGGGGTGTCAAACCCAATATAGATCTATATACAAGTATCACGTTCTCCCTCAAGGAGATTCTGATTATAACTACCAGGAATTATATCCCGCACTCGGACGTACGGGGAGAGAGAGAGTCTCACAACATAGGTTAACAAGTTTACGTGAAATGTGTGTGAATATAAATCTTTCTTGTATGAATGTACCCTTTTTGTACGAGTGTGTTGAGTGATGTATCATAAACTATACCTATTATAGTTTATCTAAAATGTATGTAATATGTATGAATTCTTTTATGGAAATGTATTAGTGTTGTGAATTTATCAAACTATACTTTTTATAGTTAAATATACGTGTTCTAAAATGAATGAATAATATTTAATATGAATGACTTAGTTTCAGTTCATAATGATAAACTAATAAGGAAACACATTCAAATATTAGAACTTATGATTATACACTTTGCTCAACATAATACAAAGTGTTATGATATATACATGCTGTTGGCTAACTTTAGCCATTCTGCCCCGTTTTGGAAAAATCATAGAAAAATCATACGAAGTCAAAAACTAGATCCGTAAATTCTGAGAGTTCACAAAATGTGTCTAGTTTACTCATAATTTTTATCACGATTTTTAATGACCTCCAACTTGGGTGAAAAAGTCCATAATCACAGACTGGTCCGGATTGTTGTTTGAAATGATAGGCAGTTTTGTAAAAATCACCATAAATTGTAGAAAAATCTTATGGAGATGTGCAAGTAGTCATTTTAAAGCTACAACCTTGAACTATTTGCACCTTGTACAGTTTCGAAAACAAAAATGTTTAAGATGCCCAAAACAGTCCGTGAATGGAGTTGAACTTTTCTGATGAAGGCTGTTAGAAAATTTTAATTATGTTCTTGGTGTTTTAACTTGTATTCTCCCCCTGAAAACTTGAGAAAACATGAAAATGTAGAGGTATGAACTCACCTTAAGTGATTTCAGTAGATGATTGTTGAAGAATTGAAGTCTTTAATTCAAGAATACTTGGAGATGCCTTGAAGATTTTCGAGAATCTAACATTATAGTTATGGAGTTTGTGTAAGCAATCAAAGATTTGAGTAGAATGAAGTGAAATAATAATAGGGAGGATGAATTTTTACTTACTAAGAGTGGAAGAACACTTGAAATCAGCCTTGAATCTCGAAATTTGTGTAGAAAGAGTTTGAGAGAAAAGTGGTGATTGTTACTTAGTGGAATGAGAGCAATGAGAGAAAATGAGGAGAGTGGGTGTTTGTTCCAGCTCAAAAAAAACGTGGGAGTGAGTGTAATTTGAGTGTAAGGGACATTTAAGTGACATAGGTAAGGTGGGGAGGTATGGCTGGTCATAGAGTGGGTATGGGGTGGTTGCTTGTGTCATAAGTTAAGGCAAAGTCAACACTCCACCTTAAATAAATCCCCCATTAGATCTTTATTATTTAGATTATGATTTTCATAAAAATATGTTTAAATTATGAATATTTAGAGTTTATTATGTTAAAATATAATTTCTGGAGAAAATCCCGCTTTAAAATCACGAAAAACGGGCTCAAAATGTTAAAAATATCAAAAATGAGCTAAAAGTGACAAATTTCCGAAATCTGGCCGAGGTTCGGCCTTCTGATGTTGAAACCGAGAGGAGGGAGGGTAGAAACCGAGAGGGGAGAAGAGAGAGGGAAGGAACCGAGAGGGGGGAGGAGAGACCAGAGGGGCGCGAAGAGACAGAGAGGAGAGAAGGAGCAGAGACCGAGAGGAGGGAAGAGACAGAGAGGCGGAGCAGAGACCGAGCGAGGCAGAGACCGAGCGAGGCAGAGACCGAGAGAGGCAGAGGCCGAGCGACCAGCAGAGACCGAGAGAGGCAGAGACCGAGCGACCAGCAGAGACCGAGAGAGGCAGAGCGTGAGAAGGCAGAGACCGAGCGACCAGAAGAGAGACCGAGAGAGGCAGAGACCGAGGCTCGGTCTCGCATGCCTCAGCCACCAGAGGCTCGGTTCTGGTCCTAAGAGGCCTCTCATTCCGGTTTCGGTTCCTAAAGCCTATTTTTCTCGTTTTCGCCCCGTTTTAAGCCGTTTTTGACCCGGTTAAGGTCCGGAATGACCCGAATGATTCTAAAAAGTTACGGGAACTATTTGAGGGAGATTTGGGAGAGATTTCTCATACTTGGAGAGATTTGGGAGAGATTTGACATTCTTGGAGAGATTTCTCATACAAAGAGATATTTGAGAGAGGTTTCACATACTTGGAGAGATTTGGGAGAGATTTGACATTCTTTGAGAGATTTCTCATACAGAGAGATATTTGAGAGAGCTTTCACATACTTGGAGAGATTTGGGAGAGATTTGACATTCTTGGAGAGATTTCTCATACAGAGAGATATTTGAGAGAGGTTTCAAGTGTGGCATTTGTGAGTGTTTGGCTCCGCAATGCAGGTTTCTTGAGCCTCGTTAAGTCATGATTAAGGATCTCACACACTCCCAATGAGTATGCAACATGGTTTTTATCAGTTTAGTTCATTGATTAGCACTAGGGCTTAGGAAATTTTTAACACAAGACTTTTCTCAAGTGATGTTTTCCCATTAATATAGCAAGTTATACAGTATGATCATAACACAAACCCTAATACACAAGGTTTAATTGAGTTGACCGGCTTCACTTGATGACTTGACTTGACTCAAGATTGACGATTGTCACAATTGAGGAGTTGGCACAGATGTTACATCCGTTTACCCATCACCTTATCTCAACCTTTTGCACGTTAACGTATACTTTCTTAGAATCCTTCAGAAAATCGTCATCATTTATCGCAAAATTAGGGCTTTTTGAAGAATATTAGGTTATTGGAAAGTCAATTTCACAGGGTATGTGTAATTTCTTTGAAGATTGTGTTATTACAGTTCTCTGTTCGTCAGAGGTTAAATGATAATGTGTGTTTTTTCAGGTTGTTATGATGGATTGGGATTCAGAAGACGAAGGAAACACAGACCCATTTTTTGGTTTACGCGAGCCTTTCTCTGGTCTTAATGAGATGGATTTTGAGCTTCATGGCATCTACATGGATCATGAACCAGACGAAGAATTCGTTACTCCATTGGACAAGTGTAAGGATACATTTCTTGATATGTTACCAATTGATAAAAATATTAGAAACTCTAGTTTGACTAATGATGTAAGAGCATAAGTGTATCATGGTGGTGACTTGCAAAGTGATGAAGGTGAAGAAGAGCTAGAACAGGTGATAAACAAGTACAGAATACATGATCCAAAAACAAGATGGGGCAAAATGGAACCAAAACTTGGTGACATTTTTTAGAATGTTACACAGCTGAAGTTTTGTATCCAAAAATATGCAGTCCATAATGGGTATCAACTCTACTTTGAAAAGTGTGACAGTACAAGAATACTTGTAAGATGTGGGAAAAGAAATGAGGATAATGGTTGCCGTTTTAGACTGTATGCCTCGTAGATGTCCAATAAAATATCTATTTAAATCAAGACTTTAGAAGCTAATCATATTTGTGGTAGGAAGTTCAAACTTGGCTCTATGTTTACTCCTGAATGGATAGGTAGACACTACATAACTGAAATTGCAAATAAACCTAAGGTGAAGCTTAAAGAGATGATTACTAACATCAGACAAAGGTTTAGGTGTGCTGTGTCTATAGGCCAATGTCGTAGGGCAAAGAAGTGGGCCAAGGAGTTAATTAAAGGTAAATTAATTGATCATTATGCCAAGATATGAGATTATGCACAAGATTTGTTAAGATCCAATCCATGCCCTACATGTAAGGTGTGTGTAACTGTCAATCCAGATGGGATAAACAATTTTCATAGGTTTTATATTGGTTTCAAAGATATATGTGAAGGCTGGAAAAATGGGTGTAAAAGAGTTATTGGTTTGGAAGGGTGCTTTCTGAAGGGAGCAGTAAAGGGTGAGTTGTTGACAGCCATTGGTAGAGATGCCAATAATTAGGTCTATCCAATTACTTGGGCCGTTGTGGATGTTGAGAATAATTAAGGTTAACTGGACATGGTTCCTTGAGCTTTTAAGGGATGATTTAGATCTTGATAGTGGAAGAGGTTTGGTAGTGATATCAGATCAACACAAGGTAAAATTTTACATACTTGTCCTCTACTTAATTGCATAATTATCTTATTACATATTTGTCCTTTATTAAACTAATTAAATGATTGGCTTGTAGGGTCTGCTTGAATCTATGAAAGATATATTGCCTCATGTTGAACATAGGAATTGTGTTATGCACATTTATGCTAACTTTAGAAAGACTTTCACAGGTTTGGAATATAAGAAGTTGTTTTGGGCTGCCTCTATAAGTTGCACACAAGGTGACTTCAAAAGGCATATGGAAAGCATCAAGAAATTGAACCCTTCTACATATGAATACTTGATGTCAAAGCAACCAAAAACATGGTCTAGAGCCTATTTTGGATCATGCTATACATGTGAAGCAGTTGAGAAAGGGACTTCAGGGTGCTTCAACTCAATAATATTGGATGCTAGGAGAAAACCTTTGATCACCATGCTTGAAGAGATACGGATTTATATCATGGACAGGTTTGCTTACATGAATGAGGAAAGTAAAAAGTGGAATTCAAATGTTTGTCCAAAAATTGAAAAAAATGAATAGATTTGGGAAAAATATGAGGTACTATTTTATGCTTTCTAAAACTTGTCTTAATCATTAATTATTGTTACTAACTAGATACTTGATTGTAGGTTATGGGGAATAATTCATAGTTAAGGGCATGTGTTTGAGGCCAGAATAGGGTGTGACAGTTATAGGGTGGACTTAGATGATATGACATGTTCATGTAGGCTGTGGGATTTGGCTGACATCCCTTGTGTGCATACAAATGCATCAATTAATTTTATCCATCAAACACCAGATGCATACATCAATGCATACTTCTCTAAAGAGAAATTTAGGCAATGTTACTCAACAAACATTGAACCTGTTAATGTAAGCAATCTTTGGGCCCAAACTGAGTACATTAAGCCATTGCCTCTAATGTCTAGGAGGATGCCTGGTAGGCCTGCTACCAAAAGAAAGAGGCATGTCAGTGAGAAGGAGAGCAAGATTTCAACAACAAAAGTGAAGGTTGCAATAACTACCAGATGTGGTAATTGTTTGGAATATGGTCATAATAAGAGGGCATGTAAGAATGAGAGAAAACAATATGTGCCCCCCCCCCCCACACACCAAAGAAGACAGGAAGGCCAAGAAAACATCCCATCCCCCATGTATTTGTTCCTAACCAGTCACTAAATGAGAGAAAACAATACTACAAACCCTGGTCAACCAAATGTCCCAAGTCAACCTTCATGCTCTAACATAGTGAGGAGGAGTCCAAGAAAACATAACATATTGAGGATGAGTCCAAGAAAACATCAACAACAGGCAGGTTCTAAAAGATTTAGGAGAAATAGTATTAATGTACCTATGAAGAAGTTATGCACAAGGAGAGGTGGTGGGAAGATTGGTTCTGCAAAAATTGGGAATAATACTCCAACTATAGGTACTCAAGAGAGTGTGGTTCAACAAGTTCTAGTTGTTGATGAGGGTGAAAATGTGATGAGTGAAAATGTGATGGGTGAAAATATCATGCAAGAAGGTTATAATGTGGGTCAAAGTGTGGTTCAACAAGTTCCAGTTGTAGAAGTTCCTATTGTTGTAGAAGAAGGTGTGGTGCAGGAAGAAGGTGTTGTGCAGGAAGTTCCAGTAATTCATATTCAGGATGGTCATATAATGCAAGGAGGAACTAGTCAAACAAGTGTGATGGAAGGTAGTGACACCTTTGGGCAAGTAAGATCAAGTATTAGTTGGAAGCTTAAATCAATAAATGATGAAATTAAACAAGGTATTGATGCAATTTTACAAGAGGTTAACTTCAAAAACAAAACACAGTCCAGTCCACTAAATGGTGATAATGGGGTGGAAGATAATGATGTTATTGAGTTTACTGAGGGCAAAGAGGATGATATTCTACCAGAGATGATACAAATAGGACCTGAAGACATTGCTAATAAGCTAGAAGCTGGTTATAGCATGGCATAAATAGAAGTTATGATAGGGGTACAAGTGGAATTGGATGATTCCCCACCAGTTGAACTGGTAAGACCTATTATCTTTTATTAATTAACAAATTTTATGCTGATTTTTGTGAAATAATTATATCTTTTTACATTAGAATGTAAATGATTTCATTGATGGTCATCATTCTGATGATGATGTTGGTCTGGATGGTGGAGCTAAAGGTGTTGGAGATGAAGCTATAGGTGATGGTGATGGAGAAGTTCATGATGTTGGACCTGATCATGGTGTTGGATATGAAGTTGTTGGTGATGGTGATGAAGAAGGTCATGGTAGTGGAGATGTTGATGATGGTGATGGACTTGAAGGTGATGGTGTTGGACCTGAAGGTGGTGTTGAAGAATTGGGTGATAATGAGGAAAATCAGGATGATGATGGACATGAGGTTGTCCCAATGGTTAGGAGAACAAGGAAAACATCTGGGAGGATTACCAAGATAAAGCTAAGGAAGGGTGTCTATGACAAAGATGGTGGTGGTTATTCTTATGTAAAGTCAATCAACTTGGAGTAGTTTGTTAGCAAGAAGGGGTATGGGGGTGTAGTGTGAATGGTATAGGTTGCCACTTTTGTAAACTTTGTTTTTTGGCATTTTGATTGCAACATGCATCCAATTGTTACCATTTAGGTTGCCTTTTTTGTGCATTGTTTAGGCATTTTGGTACAAATGGATGGTTGCTACATATTGGTACTATATATAATGGATACACCCCCTTCTATATTATGTTCAATCTTTTAGAATTGTTACCATTCACTAATTGTTTCTGCAAATTCATACCAATTACCATTTTAATTAAACTTGTACTACAAATTCATACCAATTACACTTGTAATGGATACATGGTAGTATGTAATTAAACTTGTACTACAAATTCATACCAATTACCATCTTAATTCAATCTACTCCAAATCCATACCACTTGTTACATTTACTGAAATTATAATTATTACCATTCACCAATTGTTACCATTCAACAGCTTCTACTCCAAATTCATACCACTTACCATTTTTTGTACTCTAAATTACTGAATTAATCATACAACATTGCAATTAACCAACTTGTACTCCACTTAACATCCATACATTTCAAATTAACATCCATACATTGCAAATTAACTTCAATACATTAAAAATTACAATCCTAACATTACATATACCTACCAAAGTATCAAATACCATCAAAAGCTACATATATCATACCATCAAAAGCTACATATTTCAAGATCACAATATTAGTGGCATAACAAATAACTGCCATTAAATCTTGTATACTACTAGAACAAGCATGAATAATATAGCCCCTAACAAAACAACAACCATTTGCATTAATGTCATCATTTGTCGCTGCTATGTAATCCGATTTAACTCTGGCATCATATCTTGTTTTTGAACTCCTTCATCGTCAACCCATCTAAAAAACCCACAACCTCCTTCTCCTTACATAATTACATCAATGCATAATACCCTTACTGCAATCCTACTAAAGAAAAGGGAAAATGATTTTTACCTTATAATTAGGGCACCTCCAAACTTTCTTTCATGGATTTTCTGGTGTGCATGAAACAAACACAAGGCATAAATCTTCACACCAACACTTCACTTCGCTCTTCTTCTTGAATCATGAATTCACATTCGAGCTTGATTTTGCAGAAGATATTGGCATTTTGCATGGGAGAATATTGCGTTGCGAGAGGATGCAAGAAACAGGGGGATGGGGAAGGGTTATGTGGGAGAGGGTTATAAAATGGGGCCCATATTGTTTGACATGTCACCTAAATTGCCAAATCAACACATGGTAACCGGCTGCTAAGGGTCCAACCTGTTAAATGAGATATTTGATACATTTAGTGAAAGTATTCGGCTTTAATAACCCAAAAACTCAACCAAGGGTAAAACCGACATTTTTTTGGAAAACTTAAGGGCTTTTATGATAATTTCCCGTAAAACAATTGTATCTGACAATAAAAAATCTAAGCAACTAATTAGTTTCATATTATATTATTACTTGTTTTTACTTTTATATTTGTAAAATAATATTTATTAAATGCTACATTAAACTATATAATATATATATATATATATATATATATATATATATATATATATATATATATATCTTTTTAGTCTTTCTTTTATTAAATGCTTAAAGCATGTACTTATATATTTTCTTAAAAATAAATAGCTATCTCCTAACCTAAAATATTTTTGAAAAAGTATGTAATAAAAAATAGAAAATGATTTTCAATTTTCAAGGAAACTGATTGACAATTAGTAATTTCAATAGAACAAATAAAAAACCATCGGTACATAATCATATCTAAAGATATTCAAGATTTTTTTTTTCACAAAACCTATCTATGCTCTACTACATCAGGCATATTTCCAAATACATAGAATACTACTTGTTGGATACTCAACACATTAATCATATGTGGATCCCAAACTTTGTATTTTTCTAGAATACTTTCTATTAAGCCGACCAACTTGCAGAAAAACATCCGTACAAAACTAAATGCCAAAACTGAAATAAACTTTATCATAACATTAAATAATTTTTCTATTTACATTACATTAACAGTGTACCTTAATTTATGCGTATATTACACCATCATACTTTCAAAAAACAACTTCAAGCCTAAAAAAAGTCTGGTCTAATAATATTAGACCAGTCCAAATGTGCAACCACGATCCATGGGCTACTTATATTTGACTTGTTTCTAAGTTTATGTGGTTCTACAAATAAACAAAGAAAAATACATTATGAAATTTAAAAATATATTAAAATAAGCAAAAAAAAATCCACAAATAAAAAAAATAGATACTTGTATCTTGTACTTTGGTATAGCCTAAATTTTACTTTAAGTTTGTTAAATATAGCTCTCGACCACAAAATGTTGTTGTATGTGTTCTATATGTATACATACATATGAGATTTCTAGGCTGAAATATTTCAAGTACCTGTAAAGTGTTAATATCAGGATCAAATAAGAATTGTGCATATCACATATGATTAACATCTCCAATATGCTATCTCCTTTATTTTATTAATCAACTGCCCCTTCAGGCTGCCATAAACAAATAGTTCACTTAGTATTCTCTTGTAAATAGTATAAGCCTAAAGTATAATGCTAAAATACTAAAAACAGTAAAAGTGCATTGATAAATTTATTTGCATTGAACTCATAAGTATGCATACAACTTAGAACCAAATAGAGCTTTTAAAAAGAATACACTTTCAAATGCAACAATTTAGAGTCATATAAGAATATCATTTGTTATGATATCGGGTACAATAACAATGTCAACTGGTCAAATGTTATGTAAAATATTGAAAAAATATCTTCAAAATGTGAATTTAATTTATAAAAGGTCCGAAAAAAGAATGAATATCACTTGTATTTCATCTCCAACATCACATCAAAGATCAAGCTTATAACCAACCAACTAAACATGGTAAAAAAAACCCAAACAATCAAATACTTATGTAACGGGAAGCATAAATCCAAAATTATCTCATAAAGAAGAAGAGTTTCGAACCAGAATAATAAAAAATTAAGAATATCTAGAAATAGAAAAGGAATTAAAACCTTGATGAAGAACTCATGTGAGAAGATTGGTTGTTTAGGTTACATGCTAAGAAAGAGAGCTCATAAAAGATAGATGGTTAATTAGTATATATAAAAAATGAGAATATGAAAATTAAAAACATCAAGACTAAGTGTGGATTTTCGAAATTGAACCTGTTTTCTCTTTTTTTGAACAACACCACTACACCAAAATAATTCCTCTATTTACTAAAAAATTCTTTGTTTAAAATAAAAACTCTAAAAGTGTTTCTCAATTTAAAGGAAAAATCACGAACAGATCTAATAATGGAAATAAGAACATCAAAAGTAATTAGCAACGTCTCATGACAAAAATTGTATCAATCACTTGTATGTTTGCTGAATAGATTGAATTCGTGAAACAAGTTTTAGGCATCTTGATGAAAAAAATTAACCTCATCCCAAGATGAATTGTTCATTCAAAGATCTAGGCCGAATGTAACCTTCAATATCAGTATGTTAGCCAGTCAAAAATCTGAAATTTACACAAAGTAAGTGATAAAATTTTAATTCTTGTTTTGTTGAGAAGAACTTAAATGAAATAAAATGTTTATTTATAAATGGTTTTTCGGTTGTTGCAATGTTCAAATTTGGCATTTGATAGAAACATTTTTCTTGACCCATTAGGTTAAAATATTTTATTGGATACAAATGTGTATTAAAATGTTAAAATATTTTATTGAATACAAATGTGTATTAAAATGTTAATTGTAGACAAATATATATTTATTATCAAGTGAATAATTAATATTGAATTGTTTAATATTTTATTTAGATAAATGATAATTGACTGATTGAGTTTCAAACTTTCAATGACGAACTATGTCAATATGGACTAAATTCAAAAAAAAATTAAAAATTAAAAATTTGCCAAAGTTTCCAAAGTTCTCACTTTTAGTCCTAATCTTTTACTAAATTGGTGCCCTACAAAGGTTTTTCATTTTGATTGATTTAGTCCCTACAAACAGGATCTTACATTTTATAGGTTTAGTCTCCGTTTGATCCCGTCGACAGGCTAACCCAAACATTCTAGGGCTATAGAATCTTAATTATGTACAATTATGGTGCACACACTAAGCAACTACAGTAATAATGTCAATTTCATTTAATTTATAAGAAGTCTCCTAGGATATCAGGCGTCATATTGCAATTTTATCATGCAATTCCTGAAAATCCCTAGCCTATCACTAGCATGCAGTTCTATCATAGTCATCATAAACAAATAAAAGTGTGAGTAATTTGGGGGTATGCTTTCTTGCTTTGCTTGATCGTACACATCTCATCATTCATTGGTTACTTTTGAAAACCATTTTTGGAAAAATCATTTTGAAAGTTCTAATATATCCTTAATTTGAGTCTAGATTCATACGAATAATCGTCAATTCTCTCAAATTAGGGCTTTGATACAATTTGTAACATTCCAAGTAACAAATGTGTGTTAATCAACAAACCATTTTGCTACACTAATGGTATACACCTTATCTTTAAGCATATCGATTTTTTTGGTTTGAATCAAAAAGAATTTGTTGCTTTTTCTTGAACGATTTACACAAGAGAAGTGTGAAAAGTTGTATTTTGTATGCCAAATATAGAATTCCCATAATGTTTAAGATTTATTTCTAATGAACTTGAATATCAAGAGTTTATTGATATTATTTATCATCATGGATGCTAATTTTTGGTATACATGGACCATTTTGGTACTAATATGCAAGTATTATCTAATGAAACTGGTAGTTATAAGGAGTACAACTATTCAGGTATATCAAACATGTTAATGGAAATGGATGATGGTACTGACCTAACTAACTTCATGAGTCCAATGAAGACCAACAAAGTAAGAGTAACCCATAAAGGATTAACTTAGAAAAATCAAAATAAGGATTGACACAAATGATGATGTCCTAG